TTTTTTAAATATATAGAAACAGACTGTCGCTAATACAATTTTTTTTTGTATCTAAGGACTCGTTATTGTTTTGAAAGTTCAGGGGGCGTTATTTTAAACTTTACGTAAAGAGTAAAATAATGCCCCCTGAACTAAAAACTTCCTATATACGAAACAATAATTTATTTATTTTTTAAACATTTTAGTTTATATTTTTTTGTTCGTTTTTAAAATATAAATAAAAATTAATATAATTTATATAATATAAGTAAGCAAATGCTACTAACATTTTAAAAACTAGGTATCTAAATGATCAGTTGGTACAACAATAAGTACAACAATAGTAAAATAATATACACATACGCATATCACTTTGCAGTAATGATAATAAAGTTTAATAAATGTTTTCATAATATAAATGTATAATTATATGTATTTTGTAATATAAATGTATAATTATATGTATTAAAATAAATATGTATTTTCATAATATAAATTATAAAATTTTGATAATATGGGATGGAAAATGGTTTTTCAGCTTAATTTCGAAAAGATGCAAAGAAGTAGGTCGATCGAAATAAAATAAGGCGAAAAAAATTTATTCCAAAAATGGGTTGACGATAGCTAATCCAAAATTGGTTATTTATTGATAAGTTTCAAGGTAACTAGATCATTAGAAATGACAGGAGAGAGATTATTTTTACATATATATATACGAAGCATAGAATACTAAAAATATTGAGTTTGTAAATAATAAGTATTTTCATTTCAGAAAAAATCAGGATATTAATACCACTTTACTAACGATTTGTTTCCTTGTTTACGAATAACCTTTTCAATTCTAAATATTTCTTGATTTGATTTTTGTAGTTCTTGTTCATAAAAAGTACCTTGTATTTCTTCACAATTGTAATCAGTTATTTTATAAGTTGGTGGATCTGCGTACTGAACTTTAATGTGAATACTTTTTCTGTTCATCTAGGTGTGTATACAAACGCTCCTTTCTTTTTAGCTATTCTCACTTTATCACCTAATGAAAACTTTGGTTGAATTGGCCTAGATATTACATTTTTGTTTAAATTCATCCAAACTTTATTCTTATTTTTTTAATCACTTGCTTCAAACGGAGTCATTTTAATTGAAGAATGCTTTGTATTGTTGTATTGATTTACCATTTCATCTTAAACGTCAATGTATTTTTTAGTAGAATTAACAGAGAAGTACTTGAACATTTTTTCTTTCATTGTCCTGTTCCATCGTTCAACTACACAACTTTTTTCTTCATTTTCAGTTAAATAGATCTGCACTCCTAATGCTTTAACATGCTTGTTATAAAATTCTAAGCCTTTATCTACCCATATTTTTGTACACTTTCTATCTTTAAAGATTTTGTTGAAAGCATGAGCAACTTCAATTCCAGTTTTACTTTTCAATGGAACAATCCATCCGTACTTTAAAAATACATCAATCACCATTAATAAGTATTTTACACCGTCTTCGAATTTAGAAAAAGTTTGCATGTCAACTAAATCAGCAGCCCATATATCATCAATTTTATTTGCAATTACTTTTCTTTTTTTGAAATTTTTTACAACATGTTTATGAAGTTCGTTTGCAAGTTCA